GGAAAGAGAAAAATGAAAGGAATGCAAACCAAGGTGAGTGGTGGAAGTGGGGAATTTGCAGGGAGGGAGAGTTTTGGAGTAATGAAAATGAAGGGTAGTTTAGGAATGGTGGGGTAATTGGGATTCAAAATTGAAGAGGTGCTTTTGTGTAGTGAGATTTGTTGAAGGAATTCGAATTGGATCTTGGAAGAAGATGAAGAAGAAGAAGAAGGAGGGGGAAAATCAAATGAAATGTAGGGGGAGCACTCACTCAAGGGAGGCTTATTTATAGAGAGTAGTAAGTTAATTTGGTCGATGAGGGGGCTTAGAAATAGTACTAGTCTATGAGTACCTGTTTTTATGGATTATGAGTTCGACTTTGGTATTATTAATCATATATATTTAATATTTGAATTTAAAATCACATAAAATAATCTCGTATCAATTTTGAGGTTAGATTGTTCTCATGCTTTATTCGTTCAATGTTGCAAAGTGATGTTAATCAATCAGAGTTTGAAATTTTCTTCACACTATTCATGTTCAGCGTCACTGTTTCTAGGTTATATATATGCTTGATCTATGTATTATGTGTATATTTGGTACAACTTTTGGACGTGATTTATCACTGGCCTTGGCATGGGACGGGTTGGGACGAGTGTGGGTTGAAAATATTTAGTTCAATTCAAACTGACAAAAAAAAAAATAACCGACCCATTTTCGACTGTAACTTTGTTTTAGGTTTATTGGGTTTGGGTTGGTCGGGTCTCAGATTAATAGGATCGGTTTAATTGGGTCTATGGCAGAATCAAATATAAAAACACACAAAATCGAGTCTTGTCTTGGCAAGAGCAATGATACAAGAGAAGAAGAAGACGAACAAACTTGTTCTTCGCGATGTTAGAAGGAAACAAACAAATCGTATTCGTGGTAGTAGATAGAAAGGAGCAAACGATTATCCAATGATAAACGAAGATGAATGACTAGCACTAGGATCTCTAGTTTCTACTCTTGCGACAGAGTTTCTAGTTTCTACTCTCGCGATAGTGCACCTAGGTAAATCAGAAACGAGATGAATATAGAGATTAAATGAGCATCCCACACCCAAAAGGTGCTTCACATAGGTCTTCCCCAAAACCCCTAATAACTAAGGTAAACAACCAAAAAAAAATACTCATTTCTGTAGCAGTTCTGGAAGAGCGAAGAAAAAAGAGATGTTTTGTTAAAAAGTTTCTAGTTTTTACAATTATAAAGAATAAATTGTTATGCGTCGGTCAGGCTAAAAAAGAATCATTTGAAGTAACCCAATTGTAATAATGTTTTCACATAATCTAACTACAAGAACTTTTATTTTTTGTGGGTCTTAAATTCAACAAATTATGGATTATACGAGTGGATAAAAATGAGTTAGTGACACTTACACATGGATACATCGTTGCTTGAAAAGAATGCTATACTGCGAACAATGATATTATGGTAAGAAAAGTCGTTTAATGAGAGGTGATGAAAAACAATTATTGGATCACATGAACAAAGTTGCAGGTGACCATGTCAAAGAACAACATTGACTACCACCTAAAAGGCTAAAGTAGTGAGTGGTGACAACAAAGAGCAGGTTGGGTATGTTCAACCATGGTGAAAAAAAAATGCCTCAGCGTTTCTTTTTTTCTCTCCATAAAATATATATTTTGTTTTTAGCTATCATGTAGTAGTAGAAAACAATGGACATTATTTTTCTTTTTGGCAAAAAACAATTCTTACCCCTTTTGTACATGAGAAAGGAAAGTGATATGAGTATGACATGTGCCTACTACCTAAAGCATCAATTTTAATCTTTTGTAATTATTAGGTTTATTAATGTAAGTTTTGCAAGAAAAATCGTAAAAATGAGACAATTGTATTTGTATCAAAGTTTATCGTTCAGCATTCCAATTTCTCTTCTTGTTTGGTCATCTGCCGGTATCCATAGGAATTGTTATTTTAACTCACATAAACTCTAATTTTATCCATATTAAATCAAAATTCTAGTTTTTTTTTTTTTTTAGCTTGAGGCTCAAACCCACCCACCCAAATTACATGTATTTTGTCTAGTTTGGGTAGGTTGCAGTCGAGGTGGATCGATTTTGCTTAGCCCTAGGTATATCAAATATTATGTGGACACTTTACATATAATAATAAGGTTAAAATGTTTTTTTTAATTATATAATTTCACTTATTTTATCTTTTATTTATTATATTTTAAGATAAACTTTTTTAATCTTTGTACTTATTTTTGTCAATTCTTATTAGTCCTTATAGTGTACTGATATGTTTTAAAAAAAGACATACGATAAATGTTATGTTTGTAGCTAGATGATCCATTCTCCAATTTTCCTTAAATCCTCCCATATTAGAGGTAATTATGCAATTATTGGACCCACCTTCCATTTCACACAATTCTTTTCAATTCCCTTTTATAAAGAACAAATGCATTTTTAAACATTTTCTAATCCACTCCTTCCCTTCTAAACAAATGCATTTTTAAACCCTTCTATTTGGTTAGATGTTAGAGGAGCAAAGAAATATTTAAAATCTTTTCTTATTTGGTTCAATTTTTTTTTTAGTTCTGTTCATGTCACTTGTATGTTACACACTTGATAAAAGATGTGAGTTTTGTCAATATAAAATTATTTGGTTCAATTTTTAGGAAGGAAGGGGAGCAAAATCCTTCATAATGAGGGACGTATTTATGTAGAAGAGAGTGGGGGCACATGCCCCCACTACTATTTTACACACATATTTTTTTAGTAAAAAAATAATATATTTTTAAAAATAAAAGTTATATTTTAATTCCCCTAAAAAAAAGTTATATTTTAATAAAATAAACATATATATTTAAATTATCATATTATAAACTATAAATTTTAAAAAATTATTCATTTATTTGATATTTATCATATTTTCGAAGGAGATTAATTCTCATATGTAATAAAAAAAATGCCTTAATAACGAATTAATCTTTTTAAAAATTTTAACTTTTGATAAAATAAAATTTGTACCATATATTTATCTTTTGTGTTTTTTATTTATGTATACGTAGATTAAAAAAATTAAAATAGTAAAGATTATAAGATTGTATACGTCAATTAATTAAAAAAATCAAAATGGGAAAGATTGGAAGATTTGTATTCTATTTAAAAATTTTATTATAGAATATATTTTGAAATAAATTATCATCTAAAATATTATATTAGATATTAAAAACATGTTTATATTATAAATAAATTAAACTTGGTTTTTATATAATTTAATATATTTATTTTTATATTTTTATTAGTATTAAATTATAATAAAGTATATTTTTAAAATTATAGTTCTAACCAAACATTTAAATTTTTTTATAATATATAAATAAGTCATATTTAGGACATGTATTTTAAAAAATAGTTAGATTTAAACTACTAAATTATAATATAACATAGTCTAACCTAACTTATTTTTATCTTTAATTGTAAGCATAAATATAAAAATTTGTAAAAAAATAATTATGATATATATTTATACTTTTAAAAATTATATGTAAATTTTTTAATATTATAAATATATAAATAATTATTGCTCCCACTATCTAAAATTTCTGGATCTGTCACTGTTCATAACCCAATTTTACCTCATATATATAATATTAAGCAGATTTGGAGGGGAGGAAAGAGATTTTAAAATATTTTTATTGTAATATCCAAAATTTTCTTATTTTTATTATTAAATTTAAAATTATAAGAATATAAAAGTAAATTGGATTTTAAAATCTCTCTCCTCCCTTTGTGAGCCAAACAAGAAAAGTTACCCCTCCTCTCTTAAGAGTCTCAATTAAACAAAATTTTTAACTCTTCCCATCTCCCCCTCTCCTCCTTTAAATCAAACAGTTCCTAAATCAATCTCCAACAGGAGATGCTTGTTAAGGTGCGTCAATGAAACTCCAGTTGCTTGAAACAACTCTCCCATTAGAATAATTTGATGTAGCAATGCAAGTTGCTTAATTTTTTTTAGCTCCTTTAGCAAACAAATTTCATAACTATTAAAAAACAATACTTTGGACCATTCATAATCAAGTCAAAATAAAATAAAAAATAATGAGTTTCTTGAAGTTCCTTAGAATTTCTTCTATTAAAGTAATGATATATTAATGATATATTAATTTTGATTCCTAAGAACGGTTACAAATGACAATGAAAATAAAAATTAAATCTTCATACATCTATTTTAACCTCTATCTCAATCACTAAACTAATCTTATTTTTTTTCTTTTAACAATCCCATTTTTTAAAAAATATAAACATGATGTTAGGTTAAAATTATAGTTACCTTAAACAGTTTCTCTCAACTTTAATTATAAATTTTTTTAATGTAATAAGGTACGCAATAACCTTAAAATTATCTAAAAAAACATTGCATTATTGGCAACAACCAGTAAAGTTATAAAACTAAAACTAGGGGAGAATATGATACACCCCCATTCTCACTTCAAGGTTTATATTTGATCAAACATATCAATATCTTAAACAATAATTCATCTAATAACATTCTTTTATAGATACGCTTTACATTTAAAAAGGAAACATTGTTTTAGTTTTCGAAAACATATTTATAATTCAATCTTTGTCAAAAAAATAATTTATATAATTAAACTTTTTACAATAAAATAATAACATCACACGAGAAATTCATTTTAAGTTGTATTTTGCAAGCCCAACAAAAAACAAAAAAAAAAAGAGAATTGAGTGGGTAATTTGACGAATAATGGAAAAACTACGTCCTGAAGGAGTAGGCGTGGTTTATATGAAGAGGAGTGGATAAGAAAAGTGGCTGTGGAAACTGAGGAAGAAAGGAAGCAGGGAATAGGGATAGGAATGGAGAAGTATTTCGGAAACGCTTATCGCGGTGACCCGGGCGTGCCTCATTCGGACCCGGATCGATTCGTCAACATTTGGGTCGGATCCGCTACCTTCGCTGTTCTCACTTATTTCAATCCCTATATGTGGCAGCTCTACCACTCTCTCTCTTTCCCTCTTTTCAATTGATTCAATCTTTCAACGCACCCTTTTAATTCATCTTATATTTTATCACTACTTTGCAAATTGATATTTTACCTAGGGTTTACTCTTCACTCTACACTAATATAACATGCTGATATGAGAAATAAGTTTTTAAGGGATTCAATCACATGCATATATTTGGTAGTGATTAATTTGTGCTTTGTAGCATGAATATAGGGTATTTTAGACAAACTTTTCGGAAAGTAATTTTAAGAGAAGAAAATATTAAAAAATATATTTTCTTATTAATCAATATATAAACTAATTTTAAAATTTTGGAGAAACTTATTTATTTATTTTTTAAGTGCATGTGGCAAAATTTATCTAAACAGGACTTTAATCATAACTACTGGATTTAGCTTAGTAGTTGGGTGGGGAGGGATTGGGGTAATTAGAAACATGAAGACCTAGGTTCAATCTTCATTGTAACTATCTTTGTATTCTTTCTTATTTATTTATTTATTTTTTAAAAAATAGGACCTTAATCTCTCTCTGTGTGTGATAGCATTATATTTGAAACTTAAAATGTATATATTTGTGTGTCATATTTTACTAATGCACAAAATTTAGGTCTTCAGTCTTGCACTCTTGTTGTCTTTAGTTTGATTACAGTTCTCTTGCCTGTCTTAGCCCCTCCCCCCTCTCCCTATATGTGTACTTGTGTATGTATACATTTTTATGATGTGGTTGGTTCCTACACTTGTTCTCTGAGGTATTTGTTTCATGCTTTATGATTCTCACATTAATGCATCAAAGTGAAACTTTTGTTTACTCTAATGCCAGTATCCCACTTTCATGTCGCATGTTTTCTTCAATGTAAAAAATTCAAACATACACTACGGGGGAGGGAAATGGCCCCGGTCCAATATGCTTCACTTTTCTCTCTTTTACTCCTTCCTAATCTAAATCTTATAATTCCAAGAGAGAGGTATGGAGGAAATTCATCATTTCTGGTTTGAATAAAGCTAATGCAAGAATTTCTTATTCATATCTATTACAAATAACCGTGAGTTAAAGGTGGAAATGGACAACCTGAATGTAATGTATGCTACTCGAATTTTGACTGCAAAACAACAAGAATAAAGAAACCCTTCTCTTTTTGTGCACGAGTGTCTTTTGTGGATGGTAGAAGTATATGCATAGTTGTTGGTTGCTTTAAGGTCAATTTGTGCTTTCGTCTTGTTTTTTTCTCTATATCCTTCTTATGATATTTGAGTTGATTTGACAATCTGCTTAACTCATTTGTCTCTTCTTATGATTGGGTTTTTGAAGCTTTCCCTGCATCGGCTCATTTTTATATTACATATTTTAAGATTCTTTAATGTGCAGTTGGCATGATAAAGCAATGTTATTTGAGCAATATCACTGGAAACAGGCAAAGAAGAAGAATCAGCCATATGAGTTCATGGTATGCTATTTTACTATATCTAACTTCTCTTGTGAGCTTTAACTGAACAGAGCTGATACCTTTGTTTACTTTGTGCTTTAGTTGATATGAGGAATTAATTATCTTCAAAATTGTGTTGTTGCAGTGGAACAAGACCTGGGACAGGAACCATCGGACTCATTACTACTACAATTGGCCTATTTACTTTCCATAAGTACCTTCTACAATTGGCCTATTTACTTTCCATAAGTACCTTCTGTTTTTCATTTCTTGCTGATACTGATATATCTTTTTTTTAAGTCGCAAACCTTGATAAACTTGACGCCTGCCCATGTTTTATTTAATACAGGGATGCTTTCTTACATTCACTTTTAATCATTACTCGTTAAGATAAAAATCAATTGAGTGATTAATTATATTTAATTATCGTGATGGAATGATAGTAGGTTTTGTTGACCTATATAGGGTTTATAGAAGCTACAGAAACACTACTTTATTTGTGTTTCAGGGGTAAAAGTGTTTAATCATGGGTGTAATTTAAGCATCATGAAACTCGATTAAAGTCAGTATAGTGTATGGAGTCTGTTCCCCTAAGTTTTGCAAACTGTCTGGCGAGGTCAGCATGATTTACTCGTGTAAAAAGATGAAGGTTGAGATGCTATTAACACCTAAGTGCTTCTCTTTCTCATTATCTCATGCACAACCATCCGCGGTACTTTTATCCAAGAATTATAAACAACGTTTTCTTGTTGTGTAACACGGGGATTGGTGTGCAAATACACAATAGTTAAACATGGTGAGTATGCACTCCATGGTTTGCTACCCAGTTTCGAAGCCTCAGTTCTTTCAACTAGAATAAAAACACAAAGTTCCTGGTTCTGACTACTGATAAGATAAAAAGGACCAGTGGTGCATAAAGAAATCAATATTCAAGACTCAAGACAAAGGTAGGAGATAGGAGCCACATGAACCATGGCAAAGACGAGTAAGAGGACGACCCAGTAGAAAGAAGGGGAAATAAAATTAGTTACTAGTCGGAGGGAATAATGAAAACTAATTTTCTAATATGTTTTCATCAATGAATAAATTAAAATTTCCGTATATAATTATATGTATGTACCCATTTAGCGAGTAATTTTCCTTGTAAGCAATGTTTGAATTGGTTTGTCATCCGTAATCTTTTTCATCTCAAAGGATAGTAGTGACGTACTCTACTTATACTCCACTCTATAATGCCATAGTTGTGGACGAGAAGTGAGAGAAATGATGAACTCCGAAATCATCTTCCGACACTAGTCTGATGTTGGATTTATTTTTATTTTTATTTTATTTTTTTTATGGAAAAGATAATTTTAAAAGAAGGGATGTATTTTTCAAAGGGGCTTATTAATTTTTTTTGAGACTACATATAGAGCTAAATATAATGTAAAAATTCAAATACTAACATGATCATAATTTTGAATACAAATTGATAATATCTTTAAAATTAAATGATAAGAATAAGTTCCTTACTTTTATCTGAACATCCTAAAGATTTATAATATAAATAACAAATTTATAAAAGAACTAAACTATTTTTTTAATTAAAAATATTTAGGCATATTTCAACACAAGTAAATTCCTTCTTGTCCTCAAATACCATTGATCGAAAGAAACCTATTTTAGAATATTCTTGGTTGTGGAAGATTGGCTTCCCAAATTGGTTAAATTCACTGCTTATTAGATAGTCACCGGATCAATTCATTGGTTTCGTTTAGATAAGATTTTTGAACACTTATATAAAATAAAATAAAATAAAATAAACTTTAAGAAATTAAAAATAACTTATGTATAATTTAAAATTAATTTTTCTAGAGAAGTTAGAAATCATTTAACTTTTCCAAATTGTTTTTTAACTTCAACTTATTCACAAGTTATTTTAGTCTATGAAAAAATATTATTTCATTTTTTTCTATAAATATTTATAAAAGAGTTTATCGAAGCAGGATTTTTTTTATTATAATAATTATAATTAACAAAAAGTGGTTACATTACATGATTACAATAACTTTTTTTTATACTTAAATATCTTTTAATTTTTAAAGAGGCAAGATCAGTTGCAAACTTTGTTTACTCTTACAACAACAAACTTAAATTGAAAAAGAAATAAGTACAGTAAGTTCACGTAAGTAATTTTATCGGGCGAAAATAAACGCAAATTTTATGGGCCAAAAAGTAGAACCGTAACAAAGGAGTTTCCCGAGAAGTAAGATAATGGCGCATTCTCAATATCTTCTTCACACCCCATCGTTATCATCTCTAACTTGCGCAACTCATTCGGTTCCTGTTCGGACATTACCACCTAAGACGTTGTCGTGTCGTCTCTCTTCGTATCCAGCATCATCATCATCATCATCACACAACAGCACTTCCAACTCCACCCCGTGGCACTCGAAACCTCTTCATTTCGCTCTCAATGGAGCCCTCTCGCTTGGCTTATTATTCGGAGGTAATTGCATTTACCGCTACCCCTCTTTTTTCCCCTTTTTTCTGCGAAAATTGAAAGTCAAATTTTGTAGGAATTGGAGTGGCCGAGGCTGCAAAGGTTGGTGTGAACAAGCCCGAATTGCTCCCCAAGGACTTTACCACTGTCATTGATGTTGCCGGCTTCCTCTCTGATGGACAGGTTTTCAAACGCTTTACCCTTATATAACACTTGTTTTCATAAACTTATCTTAATACTTCTGAAAAGAAAAATAAATAATCTTCTTCAAAATTTTAAATTAGCTAATTTGGAAAACTTCTCTCATATCAGCTTTTCCAAAATATGGTTTTTAACTTTTAGGTAGTTTTAGTTTATGGAGATTTGTTTGAGTTTATGGTAATGCCTAATACTCCTTCCGTTTATTTTTGTTTAATGTTTAAGGTTTATGTGCAAGAATTAAGAAAATGATTAATATTTTAGTTTTTTAAAGTATTTGTTACTTATTTTCATGTTATACCCTTTAGGTAATTAGAGAAATAATAGGTATATTAAAAATGAATAAACACATTATTCAGTAAACATATATTAATTATCAAGGATAAAAATAAAAAAAAAATTAATAAATTATTAATTTTAGAAAAGTGACTATGAAAAAAGAAAATAATAAATAATGTTAAAACGATTATGAATAAAAAATGGAGAGAGAATCTGTAAAAAGTTTTATCCGGTCAACCAATAAAAATACATGATTTGTATCATTTTTTAGATAATTATTATAAAAGTTAACACACTTCTTATAATTTATAATGCTATGTGATTGGATGATCCTGTAAAACTGTTTTACACTTTACACTTTTGGTGTATTACCATTAGACCCATTTTGTTTTTCTTCTTGTTTTCTTTTTTTAAAAATTGATTATGAAGAAGTTTGTCTAAATAAATCCTTAGTGTTTGATGTAACAATGTGTTTTGGAACTCAGGAATTGAAATCAATCCGGTTGCAATGTAATAAAATCGATGTTTGGCATCATATTCATATTTTTGCTTTAAGGATAATTAGCTTAATTATACACTTATTGAATAAAGGTCAGTTGGTTACATATTAAAAGAAAGTGATTCTATGGTAAAATAATCCAGTGATTCTTTTTTAGAAATTAAAAAAAAGCCTAAACTAATTTATGTTTGTTTACTATTATAAAACTAACCTTCTTTTAAAAAAGAAGCAACTGTTTTCATGGGGAACTGTTCAAGTAAAAATAGTGATTCTAAATGCTTATATAGCACTTACGCATGGTTTTTTTAATGACTGAAGAGTCAAGAGTAAATAAGGTCAAAATGCTTCATGTATGCTGTTTTCATTAGTTATCTTGGAGAATTTATTGAAAAGCTGAAAACAACCTATTTATAAGTTCTCTCAAATACTTACACAAACGCTTATATCATAAGATAAGTTCAAATAATCTGTAAATAAATTTTTCTAAACACTTACAAGAACGTCATTTCTTGTATTCAAAATCAAAAGTATACGTAAGAAATGGTTAAAACAACCTATGACTGTTTTCATTGTTTTCTATATAAATTTTTGAAAACAAGAAACAAAGTAAAAACAAACAGACATTTTTCTAATAAAAAAATGAAAACAGAAAATGTTATCTCAAAACAAACGGTCTTAAGCAAGCAATACCATTCTTTAGTTTCCTATTCAAAATGAACTTACACTTGAAACTGAATTGCCGAGTTTGTGAATTGAGGGAAGAAAGAATATTAATGATGTTCATTGATGATTCTCCTGCAGGAGAAAAGACTAACCGAAGAGATTGCTGCTCTTGAAGCAGATACTGGATTCAAGTTAAGAGTTTTGGCTCAGAACTATCCTGATACGCCAGGTTTTTTACTATGGTCATTGCATAGTTTAGCATAATATGGATCTCACGTAACTCACAGGCTGCTATTATTATTATTGAGACTTGAAAGCTGAAACTAATGTACTCTGCAGGTTTGGCTGTTAAAGATTTCTGGCAAGTAGATGACAGAACAGTTGTCTTTGTTGCTGATCCCACATTTGGTAAAGGATCCGCCACAATTTTCTTTGTTACTAGTATTTTCTTATGGCTTCTTTCGCTGTATATCTACCAGTAGAGGTAATATATGAAAGTGTTCTATTGAGACCAGGCAATATATTGAATTTCAATGTTGGTGCTTCGGTTGATTTGGACGTTCCACGTAGCTTTTGGAATCGCTTGGCAGGGAAGTATGGGAACATTTTCTATTGGAAAGAAAAGGTACACTCTAAATCTCAATGCAGCTATTTTTTATTAGCTTAGTTAATGGGTTAACTTAACACCAAATGAAACAGGGGGAAGATGCATCTATTGAAGCAGCAGTTATGGCAATTTCTAGTTGCTTGAGAGAACCAGTTGGTCCTAATAACTGTTCTGAGGTGAATTAGTTTCGTCGATTAATGTTGTTTTGTCATGTGATTGGTGTATAGAAATTAACTAAAATATTGAGGGTCATACATATTTCATGTTTCAAGTATATTATGCTTTTAAGTATCTTGTGTACTTCGCTCATTGTTAATAGATATGGAATCGTGTAATGTATTTTCATTGTATAAAATAGGAGAGGTAAGAGATTTTACATGAACATGATTTGCTAATAATTCAGTCTCTGGTGTCTCAGTTCAGATGGTACGTTGATTTTTGAAGTCTGTTGTGTACAGACTCAAAACATAACAGTATTTATCTCATATTGGATTGGTTGAGTTATCTTTGAAGAGTTGTTTCCTTTTAGAATAATGGATCCATGAGTCGTTGTATGAATTAAGTTAAAACAATATAAATGCTAAATAGTTGTCCTTTTATATCACTTTGCCTTTGAGGCTTATGCAGGAGGAAGTTACTGGAAATTTGCTCCTAGTTAGTTTTTGGAAGGTGTCCGATGCATGCAGTTTACTAGAGATTCCTTGAATCAACATGCCTTAACAAAATATTTTACGAAGTAAGAATTAGTGCTTTCATTCTGAAACTTTACATCACCAAGTTTAAAATCGGTTTGGCAAATTATGCTCATCTCTAAGCGGTTTTTAACTTTTAAACATTTTGTCTCGTTTTGTCTCAGAAGTCAGAACCGAGTGAATTACGCAGGGCTATATTATTCAAATATACATTTAGAGACCCTTCTAATTATACAACACTTACAGTTACACCCCAATACACATATAAACTTGGAATTTCCACGAACCTTACTCAAGTTACTCCAAATCTCTCAATTTTCTCATACTGGATCTTTAAACCTCCTTTGTAACTAAAAACTATTAGAAACACATCCTATTTTGATTATCAAGTTTTTACTCGTGTACGATGAATTGAGCAATTGATCGAGGTAGAAATATTGTTTCAGTTCTATTTCATTTTAAGATATTACTTTGTATACGCAAGAATACTACCTTAAATGGAATGAACTTTATTATGGGAATACTGCGCCAAGAGTTGCTCATATTCTTTCTTGAGCAAACGCAAAGTTAACATTTGGGTGATGTTTGTTCTGTATTTTTTTTTTAATATTATTTGTACAAAGTCAAACTTTTAAGCTTTTTTATTTTATTTTTAATATCAATCCCAAACACAAATATATTAACATCCTTTAAAAATAAATTTTTAACATTAGTCTTGTTTGGAATAAATTTATTAAAATTTAATCCAAACATAGAGCTAGCAATTCAGATTGGTTAGGAACATTCGGCTTTGAAGTTGATGTATTTTTAGGTTAGGTTGAAATGGACCAAATAACTTGTGTGCAAATTTGCCTGTTAATCACTTTTTTTTTCTTCCAAAGATTACTTTACAACTACACAAATAATATCATATAATAATTAACACATTTGTAACATGTATACTAAAATATCAAATTTCTATCACATTTTAACATTACTGTACTCCTACTTTAACATATTATATATCAAAATCAAAATAGTCATAACATGACATCTGCCCATGGTTTTGAAGTTCAGTTACAACTGCATCGCGGAGTCAGTCGATCTGCTATGCATTTGGGTCAGTATCAATGAAAAGAATCTTTCGATTCTCTCCATCTCAATAATATATCACTACAATCTTTTAGAACAATAATGGAAACATCCAAAATGGGATGACAAAGCCAACGAGAGCACTATTTAAATCTTTTTCAGCAGTGAAAGCATGTTTGAGTAAGCAATATGATATTGTGAATCTATGATCTTTTAAGTTTTAACTTTTTCCTACAAAATAATTCACTAGAGATACACTTGATTTTTTTTTAGTAAAGATAGGAAAGATTATAAAAATAATCGCAATGAAAATTGAACCTAGGTTCTCATGCTTTTAACTACCTCAATCCCTCCTCACTTAACCACTAGGTTAAACCTAGTGGTTCAGATACACTTGGTTAATATGCTATCATCCTCTGCAAGTATTTAGAAATAATTGATAGCAACAATAAAACATCTTTTGGAGTAATCGATGTAGCAAAGATAAAAGTAATGGAATATGCTGCAAATTAATTTGCAGGCTGGTAGCTGACAGAACAATTCCCGCAACACGATAAATTATTTTATGGTATAAAATTACCGCGTATTCATGATTCTGATCAATGACCATTCAATAATTCTCCCGAACCACATTATCTTGCTATTGATTCTTATAAGGGACGTTCTACATTTGTTTTATTTTATTTAGACAGATATCACAGGATCTTTTTTCTAGCATTATGAAATGGGATGCTAGCTAGTATAAATTTACAAGAATAACAGTTCTGCTAGGAGGGTTTTTAAGAATTTGATCGAGTGTAAATCAACGACATAGAAATTAAACTATTACGTGATATATAGAACTAATTATTTATTTATTTATTTATTATTATCGCAAGGAGGAGTGCTGGTTACAAAACTCAAGAAAAAGAATTATTAATAAGACGTGAGGGTCATAAAATTTTGTAACTTTTCATAAAATTCAATTAATAAGAAGAGTCTGTTTAAAAGGGTGTGATACTAGTATTAAAACCGGTATCAGTTAATTGACTTAAAGAATATATTGAATTATCTGCATATACATCTTGAGGCTGTATAGCAAAAGGCTTAAGTAGTTATAACTAGAAAATTAAAACTCCCTAGGCCTAGATTGTTGTCTATCATATGCAACTTTGATGCTTCTCTGCTCTACATTCTGCGACCATCTAGAATCTTCTGTAATTCTTGAGGCTGACAAGGGATCGAAAGAGCACCCTTTTGCCTGAAACCAAACTCTTCCTGAGCTTGATCCAACAGTCCCAGGAAAGCAGGATCATTCAAGTAATGCAATCCAACAATGAACCTTTTGGATTCTCCACCCTTGGTTGCAAGAACAGCAAAATATCCTTCCCTAACATCTTCTGGCACCTCACCTGTGGCCTCATTGAAGTACCTCACTGGGGGCCTTCTGTGTGCAAAGAGTGAAACACCCTTTTGTATCTTCCCAACAAAGGACCTAAGCATCTTCTCAAGTTTGAATGCTAATTTTTTCTTCTTTAAACTGATGAACTTAAAAGATTTTATGTTTTTGAGCTTGGGGCATCTAGGCTATTTATATACAATTATATATTGAGAACACGCTCAAACTCATAAAATAATATTGATTATTGGGGCAAGTGTACGTGTAGCTAAAGTGCATTTATTGCCATTGTTGATAGGTCAATTTCTTCTTTCTCAACGCGCTAAGCAGTTTTTATTGTTGAGGGAGAGCCAAGATTTTGTTGTCCCAATGTCTTACTGTTACTGTATAATATATGGTATATAGTTTTCTAATTAAAATCCAACAATTTGATTTTCAGTTGAAGTAGTAATAAATAAGCCTTTTTTGGTTTTGGCCTAATTGAATATTGTTTTTTTTCCAATTGATTCTTTGTGAATAAGGAGTTTTCTGTTTGCTTTTCACCGCAAGATCTTGATTGATATGAATGTTCATGAAAGAAATCTTCTAAACTAAGTGCGCAGTTTCTGATTGCAATGTTAGGTGGGATTTCATTTCTTGCTTCGTAAAGGATGACTGGAGACGACAAATAGACAGGTTTGGCAGGAAGTATTAGGTGCATCTGTTGATATAGTTTATATATATATATATATATATATATATATATTCTGGTTTATTCTGTGTAATTGAGAATTCTATCGCATCATAAAATTTTAATTTTCTAATTTAACTCATTATTCCTCAAAATTATATGAAGCATCAGTACTTTTATTTGCTGTGAAAGTCTATAAAAAAAGTTATGAAAACTGATATAACTATACATATGAGACATGAAAGTATGTACGTATAAAATAGAAACATACATAGAAATATTGTCTCTTACTGAAAAAAAAATTGAAATTATAGTCTTTATTAATGATCTCAAGAAAGGAATGAGATTTATTCCTGTTAGTATTAATTAATTAAGTTTGATCTTTATATTGTGATAATTTACAAAACTAGAAAAATCTGTTCTTCCTTGAATGCTTTTTCTTATAAGTGAAAATCACAGTATGACAAAATATATTTATACGTGGAGAGTTGAATATCCTGAACTGTGCAGATAAGATCAAGTTAAGTCTCACTAGGAAGGGAAAGAACTGTATGATATTGATGCTTCATTTGTAATTGTCATCGTTTGCCAAAATCTATTTGTTTGTAGTTTAACGGTGGCATTGATATAAGTGGTATTATTAATTTCTTAGTTATATCGTTATCTACAACAATGCAATATGAATTGGTTCCAAACAAAACGCTTTTATGATGGGTAACTAGGCCTGGAACAAGTATGTGAAGCAATAGTGCAGAATTGTTAATGGTGTTGGATATCGTATTAAAATATGGATGTTTATATATCACGTTAATACCATGTACATGATTTGAAAATTCTGTTCTCTTTTCAATACTTAAGAAACCATATGCATGCAGATAAGATCAAAATCCCGACAGGGAGGGAAAGCATTGCCGCATTAATGTTAGATGTCAAAGTGATTGTCTGGAAATGAAATTGAGCACGTGTTTCAAGTTTCAATTTGTTGAAATCAAGTTAATTAACTGTGACTGAAAATTAATTGAGAAAATAGCATATGGTTAGGTGATAGCTAGTAAAACCAGCCCAAAAACAGTCGGTAGCAGGCCTAAGAGAGATCTACAAACCTAAATGGATGAAGGATCTACAATCAATCCGAACCCAAAAAATCAGATTGGTTCAGATTTAAAAATTGAAAATATAATTATTTTGGTTTAGATCTTGGATTTGAATTTCTAGGAACCTAACTGTTGGGGCTACTCGAAAAACCAGGTGAGTCGAAGGCCACGTTCAAGGAGCTACTCGAAAGAAAGATAACAATCACCACCTGTTGAGAACATTATCATAAGGCTTGCCCGATTGTACTTGAGATATAATCAAATAGATTGAATGAATGGGGCTCGAAAAAAAGGGAAGTGCTAGGAGGTTCCGGTTGAGATGTACTAAGGCGATTAGTAAGGGTCGAAATAGAGAAAGTTAAAACGTGGGGCGAACGGTTATGAGAAATTACAATTTAAGACCACGTAACAAGCATAGTGGATAACGGTTATGATTTAGTGGCGTACATGTACAAAATTAACTGCTCTTAATTACTCTATAAATACAAGAGTTACGGACCTTTACAAAGGTCGAAAAACTCATACTAAAATTATACTCTGAAGTACTCTCTGCCTGCGCACATGGCTTTCGTACACGGAATTGTTTTTGGGTATGATTTCTTCTCGGCCATTTTCCTGTTTTCATCTTAGGAGTAGATTTAGTGTAGTTTCTTGTCCTTCTTGTAAGCATGTAGTGGAATTGTATACCTGAACAATATGCTTCAACCTGTACTGTAACTTGATCATTATATAAAATTGAACCATGATTTGTATTGCTAATATCATTATTGTTCATTCTGTTCATCTAAGTGTTTACGTGCATGGAAATAATTATCTATTAATCATTGATGAATGCTTAGAGACCAGTAATTATTGATCATTCTATTTCATTCCTTTTCATTGTAATCCGAGAACATATGCCTAAATTGAAATACTTGCTGTGCTAGTCTAAATAAAAAGAACCTATTAACGATTTCCACCGTAAACAAATTGGCACGCCCAGTGGGACAGTTTAAATCAAACATAATTGGACTAGTTTTGGGTATGTGTGTTGCATGAGACTTAGGAGTGGAAGAACAATGTCTACGTCTAACAGAGAAACAAGTGCTAACAATAATAATCATGTTGACGTAGAACAAGCAAATTATAATCCTGATAATGTGACTAATGTGACTAGGGGGGCAACGTCTTCATCCCCTGTGTTACTCTAAGGAGTAATTAGAGAGGAAGAGATCTTCTTAATGATAATTACAAAAATATTTTATATGTTAATTTAAATTAATAAAATAAAATATTAAATAATTTATATATTTTTTAAAAAATTTATAAACTTAATTAATAAAGTATCAGATAATGTATAGATCAAGTTTGCAATTTTTTAAAAAATAAAAAATATTTAATACTTTGTTTCATTAATTACAAAATATATGATAATCATAAAAATATTTTATATGTTAATTTAAATTAATAAAATAAAATATCAAATAATTTTTCACTTACTTAAAAAGAATTTATTTAAGTTTATTTCAGTCAATAACTTGTATTGTATATTAAATTTTAATAATCTAATTGTTGATTTCAAAGTTTTTAATATATAAATTAAGTTTATAAATTTTT